CTCTGAAAATTAGCTCCGTTTTTGGAACTGAAAGCTGAGTTTATCCACTTACCTTAAACATACCCGGCTATGTCACATAACCTGCTTTCTGGAATACCCCCAGCTGGTGGTGGCTAGATGTGTGCAGCGGCTGAGGGCTTGTCCTCTCCTCCAGACCTATTATTGTGAAGCTTTTGGTGATTTGATGTATCTTTCTCTCAAATTTGTTGAGACTTTTGAAGTAGAGTTTATGTCCTTTGTCTCATCGATTACGTCTATGATTGAGAGTTTTCTAAGAGAGAAGTGTTATAATTTGAGTTGCCCATTGTAAATACTGGACTAGCTTTATTTCATGTCTTTTGTTTTGGGGTTTAGTAGAGGGGTGGGTGCCATTTTGTTTTATGTTACCTATTTTCTCCTGGTTATGTTAGTTTAGGGAGTTAGTTTAATCTGCTGTATTTTGTTTTTCTTTTCTTTGTAGCTTAGGTAGTTGGTTATAAAAGAGTTAGCTTCGTTATGTTTGTTATTTTGGCCTTGCCCCCTTCTGAAGTTAATACCCTTTTGTTATTTCTTTGTTCAGAATTATGTAAATAAAAACTTCTCTTTTTGCTGCATTTGACCGTGGTTGTTTGGGTTATTGTAGTCATTCTGGGTCTAGAGACGGTATTTTCTCTGCCGTCGCACAGTCTCTCACCACCAACCATTTATTTCTGTTGCAGTCTTCCCTAGACTAATTTAGACCGTAACAATGTTCCATTCAAAGGGCATTAAAGTGTGCGAGACGTGGATGTAAATTGTATATATTTAGAGAGGTATATTATGTCACACTTCACACAGTTTCGTCAGTGTGTGGCGATGCTGCAGGCAGTGGCCTAGCTATATCCGTGAATGAATGTTATGAAGCTAAGTAAACATCAATGAATTTCCCGTGCTCAGGGAGTAGGGAGCAATGAACACTGTGTGCTATGGAGGACTAAACCTGCAAAAACAATAAATAAATAAATAAATAAATACACAAATAAATAAATAAATATGCAAATAAATAAATAAATGTGTGTATAAATACACAAATTCTTGTTTAAATACATATAGAAATAATTAAACGTGATTAAAGTAGGCAAATAAATAAAATAAATTAGTGAACAAATGGAAAATGTTTAAGGCGACATTGGTATACACTTTTCTAACTTCAATAGCATTTGAGGAGAATGACTCACAGTCATAAAACCAACTGTGAAGTGTTCATGTAGGTCTCAGTTATAATGCAAACCTTTTAGATTTTTGATATTTATTCAAATAAACTAAATTCATATCTACACTTTAAAAAAAACTTCCTGTAGAAATTACAGTAACTAACTGGCAGCAGTTCGCTGTAAAAAAATAAATAGATGTAAATCAACTGTAGAGAACTGTAAATTAACAGTTCATTACTGACAGCAACCACAGCTGCCAGTATTCTACGGTTATTTTCAGGATGTCATGCCAATAAAGCGATATGAATTGAACTGAGTTGAGATGAATAATTGATTACTAAGCAATTAGATTATATTATTATCTTTCTTTCTTTTTTCAGAGAATATCAAAAATGGAAAAGGTGTGCATTATAGTTGAGACCTACATGAACACTTTACAGTTGGTTTTGTGACTGTAAGTCATTCTGCTCACATGCTATTGAGCTTTAAAATATGACATATTTAGCGTTTGAGCCCATTCGGTACTGAAAAAAGAAGCATTTTTTGCATATGATATCATAGTTTATTTTAGTAAATATCAAAAATCTAAAAGGTGTGCATTATAGTTGACACCTACATGAACACTTTACAGTTGGTTTTATGACTGTGAGTCATTCTCCTCAAATGCTATTGAGCTTTAAATTATGGCATATTTTTCGCGTCCGGAGTGTGTGTGATACCGGTGAGTTCTCCTAGACTCAGCGCTGCACTTTAATGTTGATTAGATAATCATCAAGTATTCAAGAATAGAAGCAGTTCAACTCTGAGAGTATACATACAATATCCATATGTATATAATTTTAATGCTGTAGCCTTTGTGTATATATTTAAAGATGTGCATCTTTAAGCATGACAGTTAAAATGAAATGGTAACACTTTAAAATAAGAGTCCATTTGTAGCATTAAGATTAATGAAAGCTGTGTAAGTATTGTTCCTTGTTAGAGGGTGTTAATTTCAACATTTACTATTACTATTATTTTTTTTTTTTTTACTACTACTACTACTAGTGGTTCAGTACTGTTTTTGTTAATAAAGCACTATTTTAGTTTTTGTTCAGTATCAATTTTAAAACTATCGGTTAATTAATCAGTATCGGCCAGTGTGGTCCAACCTAGCTATCGGTATCGGCAAAATCCACTATCGGTCGACCACTAGGGTTTGTGTGGTTATCTGTAATGATTGTGGTATCAGGATTCTTGTATCCCCTTTTTACAAGAAATATTGACAGAATTTTACCTCATTAAGCCACTTTCAGATAAGTTTATCAGTCAAGCCATTGACTTTCATAGAAGACATAATGAAGCTCTCATTTGTGTTTCAGGGAAATATGAACCTTATGTTTTTCCAAAATAAAATGTCTGCTGTGTTAAACTAAAAAAAAACAAAAAAAACTTTTTATTCTTCTCTCCTAAATGTGTGCATTCCTTGTGAAAAAGAAGTGCACTTAATTGTATTGAATGTGCACTTGTAATGTACATGAAATCTTAAAATGATAATTTTGAAAAAACAAACAAAACATTAATAATTTAATATCATAATCACATATTAATATATAATAATATAATCATATAATATTAATGACTTAAAAGGCCACTTATGTGTACTTAAAGTGACGTAACGTCTCCGTTCCCTCCTTCAGGGAACGAGGGTTATACAAGTAACCGAGACGTTCCTACAATCACTCATTTTCAGATTTCAGTTGTAAATGTTAAGATAGTTTAGCCTTTTACTATTTTTTGTATTAGCATATTAATCACTCTTGGTGATAACATATTTTCTCTGTTGTTAGAGCAACAAGAACGCTTTTACGGTTTAATCACAAAACATTTTATCATTAACAGAAAAGGGTCAGTGCAGCAATAACAGAATCTACAATTTCATATTTAACTCTGTATTGCGAAACACTGTCACCTATGGGCCATGTGGGAAAATTGCAATTTCAACTGCAAATAGAAGTGAGCATCAGTTCTATATAGTTTTATATTAAAAAAGCATAAAAATTTGTAAATTTTGTAACATCTTTCTTAAAGTGTTAATCAAAACCCTTTCAAGTGAAATCTATAAACCTGCGAAAACTCTCAAACTTTAAATTTGTAAACCTTAAATGTATTTGATTAGCTATTTCTTATTTATTTTTTTCTTTCACCTTTTTTATATATACCTTTTACAATGAGTTTTATTATATACATATATTACATAATTTTTGGGTTTTGGTAATTACTGCCTATTTGTGTCCTAATTTCAAAGAGTAGCGTCTCTTCGTGAAGTGCTTGCTAAAAAAAAATATATGTAAAAATGTAAAGAAAATTCTGGTGTCAGAATAATATGACACCGTTTTTCTGTGTTTCATATGTCCGAATACTAAATAACATTCCAAAAACAGTAGGTGAAAAATGTTTAGAAATCACATGACCTTCAGAGAATGGATGTTACTTACTGTAAATCTTGGCTAGTTTGGAGTTTGTGAAATGAAGCCTATGAAGAACCTTAAATTGAACTTCCTCACACAGGGCGAGGAGGAATGCGCCTGATTTAAAGCATCTTCCCATACTCCATCTGTAAATTCTCTGCCCAAATCATTTTGCCAGGCTTTACGAATATAAGGTTCTGTGGATCTATAGATGTTATAATAGAGTAGCCTATATACTTGAAATGAGTCCCCTGCCATGTGGGTTCAAATCAAGCAATATCTCAATAGGTGATGTAGAGGACATTCCTGGGAAGGGAACAAAAACCTTCTTGATGAAACTCCTACTCTGCAAGTATCTAAAAATTGAGACCTATTAAAGCAAAATGACATCCAAGCTCTTCAAAAGAGCAGAAAGTGTTATCTAAATATAAATATTTAAGAAGCCTAATCCCCCTCTCCTCCCAAACACAAAAAGCGGAGTCCATATACTGGAAAGCAGTGGGAATAGACAGTTAGAGACAATAGGACCCAAAATGGAAGCTGACTGTAAACCAAAATATCTTCTAAATTGGGCCCAGATTTTTAAGGTGTGATTCAGTACAGGATTAGGGGAGGTTATACAATTTTTTTTCACACCAGGGTGAGTAGATTATGCATAAATTCAATAAGGATATGACATGTTTGTTCTATCCAGGCTGGAGTATTGTAATGCTCTTTTGGCAGGCCTTCCAGCATGTTCTATCAAACCTCTGCAAATGATCCAGAATGTGGCAGCAAGTGTGGTTTTCAAGTAGAAAGTGCACATCACACCTCTCTTCATCAGTTTGCATTGGTTGCAATAGCAAAATAAAATGCAATAAAACCAAATAAATATATACACACAGTATATATATATACATATATATATATACATATATATATACATATATATATATATATATATATATATATACATTTTTTTTAAATATATATATATTTTAAATCACATTTTATTTTATTTGCATCAAATTCAAGGCACAGATGTTTGCTTACAAAACAACCATTGGCTCTGCACCCCTACTATATAACTATGCTATATAACTCTCTTGTCTAAACAGCGTAAATGACAAAATAATGACAGTGATTCAGACAACTGTTATGATTAAATACATTACAATTAACATGTATCCTGAAAATATGTTTGATTAATTCACTAAATGATCATGTATTTTGTGTACTGTCTTGTGAGTAATTAAAATCACACTGAATCATTTAAGATAGCAAACACCTGGCATTGAGCAGAGTTTATGCTGAGATAAATGATAATTTAAAAAAACAACAACGATGTACAATATCATTCAACAATGATAACAGATTTATTTGATATATTTGTGTGCTCTCTCTACATGTGGAACAAGGTACAAACAAACAAACATGTAAATATGTAAAGAATATTTTCTATTGGGTTTCAATCCCAGCAACATCTCAAATAAATTACCTGCTTTCAAAATGAAGCATAAGGATGTGCTCTACGTCACAGAAGCGCCAGGGTCAGAGAGTTTCCAGGGTGGAGTGAATGAACTTGCCCCAGTCTCCCATATAAACATACTATGGCCCTAAAAACTTTTACCTTACATTTTTTCTCTTTGTACCTTTAATTTCTTTTTCTTTTCTTTTTTGGGGGGCATTTTTGCATTTTTCTTGGATAGCAGGAAGCGAGTGGGAGAGAGTAGAGAGAGGGGTGGTGGGGTGGGATCAGGAAAGGTCCACGAGGTAGGATTCGATCTCGGGACACCGAGGTACGCTGTCAGCGCTGACTAAGATCAGGAATATTTCTGATTGGGTTTAAAGGTGCAATATGTAATATTGACAGGTAGTGGTTGAAATAGGTACTGCAGTCTAAAATATTGGAGATTTATACAGATACAGATTTATATTTCACCATTTCTTGTCACTTGATTTCTTTTAATCTCGTGTTATGTATTCCACAGCTCTATGTTTATCTTCTCTTGCTTTCTTAATGTCTTCCAGTGTTTTGGCCTTTTCAAGCTCATTTATTTCCTTCAGTTTCTCAATCAAAAAATCTAAGTGCTGAAGTGTGATCAGAGAATCAGTATTGTGTGCGATAATCTGCAGAGTGTCCACACAGTGAAAAGCATCAAACACCAGCTTTATTTTCTTTTTCTCTAGTTTGTGCAGTTCATTGTTGAGCTTTTTGACCAAAGACTCACCATCCTTAACCTTACCATCATATTCCATCTTTAAATCTGTATTTGTATTCTTTTCCTTCGTTGTCTTTGGTTCAGGTATTTTTGGTTCTTTGGTGTGATTGTCAATGTGGCATTTATTTGGGCACACTGTGCAGTGATTATTTCCTCTGATAGTTTGCCAAATGCCTTTAGACATCCTGCTCTCTGGACAAGGCTGCTCACAGAGTTTGCAGTACATCAGCCCTTTGGTTATATTGGGATCAATATTAACGTTCACTTTGTTGGGCACTTCAGCTTCAGAATCAAAGCTCATTAAGTATATGACATAATTCTTGTTCTTCTCCAGAGCTTCTTGAGTGTGTTTCAGCTCATCTTGCTTGAGTTCCATCAATTGAACACATGAATTTAGATCTGGGATTTTTGCCTCCAACTGCTCCCATTTTCGTAAAACATCTCGAGTCATCTTCAGGGTTTTGGGTTTCATTTTGTCAAGAAACGTGAAAAATTGTTCCATTCTACTTGAACTGTGATCCCATGATTGTTCCCATATCATTTCACTTTCTTCATCAGCAGTGTCTGTCTGACAGTTGTTAAACAGGAAAAACACTGGCTGATTCTTGTCATTTACTGCACACTTGATTTCAGCCTCTTTAACAGCCGTCAGGGCATTTTTAGGTTGAGTACCGGTTGAGTGTGTGAAGAGCAAGAGGATGTTTACAGCAATATCTCTGCCAAATAAAGACTGAACAGCATCAAATATGTATCGTTGTCTCTCAGGGAGTCTGTTTTGGTATGCCCTAATTACCAAACACACTGCATCTATTTCATGAATCCCTTCTGCAGATTCACTTAATCTGAGGAAACTGTTTGCAATTTCTTTATCAAGATTGTTTGTACGTGTGTCTGCATATCCTGGTGTGTCGATGATTGTTAAATCGATTGGACTCTCCTGCAGATAAAACCCATAAACAGTGATTCTGGAGGTCTGACTGTGAACTGAAGTTCGGTCGCTCTGATCATCTGTGATCTCAAACCAAACTTTGTCTTTTCTCTGAACACCCAACATGTAGTTGATCATCGTATTGATAAGGGTTGTTTTTCCTGTTCCTGTTTCTCCCACCATCAGAATGGTTTTATGAGGTTTGTTTTTGTATCGCTCACCAAAGACCATTTTTCTATATGGTTCAGATTGATCAGAATTTTCTATACTTGTTTGCAGATGGTAACAAGCAGGATTTCTGTCTTCAATTAAGACACTTTTCTTGATGATTTCACAAAATGGATGTGAATCTTGATTTAAACTGTTCATTTTTTCTCTGTAATATTAAAACAGAAAAACATGTTATACTACCCAGATTGTTCTGTGTATTTTATTTACAGCTCAGTAAAGAGGCAAAAGTGTAATATAGAACTTTAATGTAAAAGTGACACGAGTCAGGACCTTCATGCTTCCTTTTTTCCCCAAAAAAATTTACATTTTATAACTTACATTGTACATTGTACAAATTTTTACTGAGATTGGGTTTGTAAAAATAAGGTATTTAGGATAAAAAGTGCCCCTAATGTTGTGGTTAAACAATTATTGATGTGATAATTTATTACAAATAAGGACTGTTACTACTATATATTCAGAATCACTAAACCTCTGACCACTGCATAATCTAAAACACCTTCAACCAGCATTCATTATAAAACACTCCTGCTTTTAAGCCAAATACACGCTGGAAAGAATAATTTATCGGCATCTGGATGCAAGTCACTATTCTCTGCATTAGCGCTGTTTTGAATTTACTGTTTGAATGCTTTCGCTTACTGGATCCTTGGACTTTTAGGAGTTTACGGTGAGCCCGGTTTAATGAAAATGCGTGTCAATAGCACAATTTTCTGTTCCTATTTGGCGTGCTATTCATTCGCTGACATTAACTTTGGCAACTTTGGCATCCTACCCATTGCGTATCATACGCCAAAGTCAATTTCTGCCTAGAAATAGTAGCCTACGCCAAATAGAAACAGAAAATCGTGCTATTGATACACACTTTTATGAGATCGGGTGACAACCCCTGAGGCAGACCGACTCCGCTTGCAATCATTATGTGATTTGCTGAGATGAGAGGTGACCCCTCCTGGTAGTGTGATTTATATAGTGTCATTTTTAATCACCCAGACACTGACGATTTGACTCTATACCGGCAGCATGTCAGAAGTGCCGGTACGCATGAAAAAATGCTGGTATGCAAAAGGCTAAAATATAGAAGTGCCGGTACTGCGTACCGGTGCATACCGGCCCACATCAAGCACTGTGTGATGATAAATAGCTGGCTGACTTTTCTGTTTGTTGACATGACATGGTTGGGTAGTCTCACTGTAAAAAAAACTTTTGTTCACTCAACTTGACTTTTTGAGTTAAGATTTCTTCTTGTAGTGTTTTATGGAAGGATATGCCGGACAATTTTCAAAAGGAACTGCGAATTGTATTTTTAATTTTGTTTTCCATATATGGACGCATAAATTGTGACAATCTAAACACAATTGCAAATCTTGCATTACCGTTTGCGTTTTCACTTTATAATATTTTGAGTATCTTGAGGCAGGCACGACACACTCTCTATTACGGATTAAAAAAGAGAGGAATAAAATATACGGTAATTAGTTTAGAATTGCACTGTCTGTTCACTCACTTGCATCAATTAGAGGGTAAAGAGTGAGAGAGACAGGTTTGGTTAATAGTGAATATTGACCTATTGTGCATACTGTTGTGGCTCCCACTGTTAGCAGGGGGTAATCGCTGCAATTGGGGTAAAAAAAGACAGAATTATTTATTGTGCCAAGAAGGTTGCACTGTCTGTTCATTCACACAGGCACGAACTTATTGGCAGCTGCCTTTAGCGGAGCCTTTACCGATTACCTCCATTGTTCAAAGCATTCGGCGCGATCATCTGTGTGTGATGTCACCTCCCAATACAAACACGCCCCATAGTATAGTCCCACCCCTGATGATGATTGACAGCTTTCCATGCAAGGCATCGGAAATTCAAATGCAAAACGAATTGCGATTCTATGTGAGTTTTGGCAGGTTGCATACGTGATGCAGAGAGAGTGAAAAAGCAGACGTGGTAATTAATATTGCTGTTTAAATATGACAGGCTCGTAACTTGCAAGACATGGGAAATACAATTGCAAATGTACTTTGCTTTTTCATTTGAAATGTGGCAGTCACAATGCGTTTGTGAAAGTGAAAACGCAAACGGTAATTCAAGATTTGCAATTGTGTTTGGATTATGTCACAATTTATGCGTCCACATATGGAAAACGCAATTAAAAATACAATTTGCAATTCCTTTTGAAAAGTCTCCGGATTATTCTTCTATATCCTTCTATAGTGTTAACTTAACTTGACAAATGTAGTTTTTAAACTTATAAAGTTACTTTATGGAAGTAAGTTGAACTTACTTTAAGTTTTGAATACTAAAGTTGTTGTTAATTTCTTAGGTCAACCAAATAAATAATTATTTTATTTTAATTGTTTGTTTATTTTAATGTTAAATAATTATTGTATTTCAACTGTTTCAGTCATGTTTTGGTTAATGTTTTCATTCCCATTTAAATTAACTTCTACTGCAAACAGGGCCGCTGCTGGTCAAATGGGTGCCCTAAACAGGATTGTATTGTTCTGCCCCCCTCCCTCAAATATTATGGAAGTAAAAAACAAACATATTGTATTTCAACTGTTTCAGTCATGTTTTGGTTAATGTTTTCATTCCCATTTAAATTAACTTCTACCGCAAACAGGGCCGCTGCTGGTCAAATGGGTGCCCTAAACAGGATTGTATTGTTGTGCCCCACTCCCTCAAATATTATGGAAGTAAAAAACAAACAAACAAACAAACAAAAAAACACCTACTATAGGGGTCAAAACAGAATTTTAATAAAATATAAAAGTAAATAAATAAATAAATTGTATTATTTACAAATTACAAATCTAGACAGTTACCTATGGCTATGATTTTATTAATACAGTTGTCTGATTGATTTTATAGTCTCAAGCATTCAGAAATCATGCAAAGGAAAAAATTAAGCAGTTTTACTACGATAAAACCATGGTTAATTTTTGTAAGCATTGTGATGTCCACATGTTTTTTGTTGAAGAAATTATGGAGGCTGTGTCATCTATATATAGCAAAAAGGTGGCCAAAAATTAAAGATCAAATGGATATTTGAATTAAATGTTTGGTCAATAGCCTACAAGGATTTGATTGTCCTGTATGTGTAGCAGCAGCAATTACATGGCCTTTGGTTCCCTTTGCAGGCATTTGTAATAACATGTAATGTACATAAATTGTTTATTTTGTATTACATTATGTATTTGAACAGTATTGTTGAATAAAACCATAAAATTATGAATTAACCAATCATTATTGCCTCATTGTTTTTATATAATGCATTTGAAGTCATTTGAAAGGCTATTGTTGGCTTAGGTCTGTTTTTATAACCACAAAAAAAAAAATATATATATATCATCTTAATACTTCTTTGTAAATTATTATATGAAGTAACAAAACCATGGTTAATTTGCTGTTATCATGGCTACAAGAACCATTAATTTTAGTTTTATTCGTGTTAAAACCATGGCTAAATTTCGTAATTGTTGGTGGTGAAATTATTACCGACATTAAAACACGTACGTTATTAACGTCAACAGCCAAAAAAGTTTCACAGGATTATTAATGTACCTGAAAGCATGCAGGCTTTGAAAATTAGTGAGGTCCAAGCATGAGGTGCGAGCGGTTGCCACCGCGGATGCGGAAATGGCGCTTGGCGCATCACAGGTTTTTTTTGGGGGGGGG